GATCTCTTGCCCTTCTTTTTAAGCTGTGTATTGAGTTACAAAAAATGATTCAGAGTGCTTCTTCTTGGTTAGATTAGCAAGTGCACAAGGTTGTCTCCTGGAAAGTGTGAGGAGGAGGGAAGTAGGTTAAATTTCACTCAAGACTTCACTGATTCAGTTTTCAATATAGAAATGGCTTTTATATAAGGGAATAGTTAGAGGGAGAGTGTAAAGCCATTACATAAATACATTGAGCAGCACACTATTTCATTTTGTTTTTGAGAGCACAAAATGGTAAAAGAAAAACAAGCATTAGAAGCAATACAGAATTTCACTAAACAAAATAGTAGGAATTCAAACAATGATTGCTGTATTGCATGATATTATCTTCAAGCCAGTTATTTAGATTATGATATAAATGTGAAAGATTGGTTTAAAGAAAAAGTGAAGCAATAACAATAAAGTTGTAAGAAATTTAAAAGAAGAAAAATAAGAATTAAGAAGAAAAAGAATTTAAGCAATAAATTCTCCTTTCAAAAGACCGGCAGAAATCAGAAGTATAATTATCCAAACTATTGTGTACATACACCTAAATATGTCTTTCCCCCTTCTTTCTTTCTTTTGCCCTTTTCCTCATCCCCGTTTTTCTTTCTTATTGAACAAATTCTTTCCCTTTCACAGTATCTGTTGTACCTTTCTAGTTTTACTTACTCCTTCAGGTTCTCACACTAGAGAGATAATATGATGCTTGCACATGTGGATCTGATTCATTTCACTTACCACTATAGTCTCTAGTTGCATCCATTTATCTACAAAAGCCTCAAATTTATCTTTTTATATCTAAGTCATACTCCACTGTGTAAAACTATCATATCTTTTTTATTCTTTCCTCAGTTGATGGGCATTTGGGTTATTTCCAAGATTTAGCTATGATTATGCTGCTGTAAACATGGGTGCACATGTATCGTTGTGGTCTGATAATTTCAGTTCTTTTGGGAAAATATCTAGGAGGGGAATAGCTTTCTTGAACGATACTTTAAATCCTAGCTTTTTGAATAATCTCTATACTGATTTAGATAATAATTGTACCAGCCTGCACTCCCACCAGCAGGGCAGAAAGGCTCCTTTTTCCTCACAGCTCCTCCAGCATTAGGATTGGTTGACTTCTTGATGATAGCCAGTTTTTCTGGCATAAGATTGTATCTCAGCATTGTTTTCATTTGCATCTCTTGAGTGACCAATGATGCTGAGCATTTTTCCATATATTTATTTGCCATATGTAGCTCTTCATTTGTGAAGTGTATATTCATCGCAGATGCCCATTTTTGATTTGGGTCTTTGAATTTTAGAGGCCTAATTATTTATTTATGTATTTATTTTTGCAGAACTGGAGATTGAACTCAGGCCCTTGTGCTTGCCAGGCAAACACTTATTTTACTGAACTATTTCCCCGGTCCCTGATTTTTTGTTTTTAAATTCTTTATATGCTCTAAATAGAAGTCCCATTGATTAAAGAACAGTCCACTGTAATTTTTCCCAATTCATGGGTTTTCTTTTTACTCTGTTGGTGATTTCGTTTGATGTGCAGAAGTTTTCAAAATGATGAGATCCCAGTTGTTGATTCTTTGAAGTATTTCTTGTACAGTTTGATTTTTGTTCGTGAGCTCTCTACCCCATGTCCTTCAGATTTACTTTCTGTTCCAGAAGATTTGGTGTTTCAGTTTTAGTATTTAAAGTTTTGATCCATTTTGATTGAAGTTTTGAAACAGCACAGTATTTTAGACCCCCATTACCGAGATCCATCTAGCGAATCTCTCATTGCTGGTGGATGATGTTGTAACTCAACAATAAGGCAGGCTCAAAAGTTTAAAAAGCACTTTATTTTAGCTGGTACCCAGTGGCAACACCTGGCACAAAGTGCCTAAGTGCGCACTGAAAGGGGGGAGCGTGGGGTTTATAAAGCTTAAAACCACAAAGCAGGCGGGGGGAACAACTCGAGAAGTTCAAAAAGTCATGGCGTCTGTTGTGACTAATATGGTTATAGGTCTGGAGTGGGCTTGGGAAACAGAAGTCACATTGGAACTCAAGGGTGGGATGGAGGCTTCAGGAAACAGGTATTCTGTGAGACAAAGCACATATTGGAACTCAAGGATGGGATGAGGGGCTTGGGAAGCAGGAAGTCACATTTTACAGCAGCTGACATGGTTCACTAAGATGGCGCATACAGAACAGGATGGCGGTGCTTTGGTCAGGTTGTAACAGATGAAAATTTTTTTTTTTTCCTCTTCATTTTATGTATTTTGTTACAGGGTCTCACCTCACAGCTCAGACTCACAGTAATCCTCCTGTTTTCAGCCTCCACAGAGCTAGGATTACAGGCCTCCATCACATGCCCGGACTCAGTTGCAGGCTCAGCGCGCCCCTGGGGCAGGACCAGCACAGCATACAGGACTGGGCATCAAACCCTTGTCCCTGTGCTTGCCAAAGCAGGTGCTTAGTCTGCTGAGCTATCTTGCTAGCCTTGGATGAAAATCTTAGTATGCTACAATCTCTCATGCGCCACAGCCCACTGCCTAGAATCATCCTGCCAATTAGCTTTCTAGTCACTCTTCCACAGGTGCAGGCTCACCCTTTCTTTTCTCTGTGATCATAGTCTTAACCCAGGCTTCAAGGTTGCTGTCTTCTGACTACACTTTCCCTTCCTAGAGTCTACTGTATTCTTTTCTTTTAAATTTTATTTATTTATTTATTTGTGTGTGTGTGTGTGTGTGGCCAGCTCAGCCCACCAGGGGGCGGGGCTGGCTGGCATGTGGTGCTGGGGGATTGAACCGCGGTCCCTGGGTTTTGCTAAGCTTGTTCTAAGTATAAGTAGGTGCTTTAGACCACTGAGCCATCTCACCAGCCCCTACTGTATTCTTTTCTATAGCTTTGTTAAGTATTTCTGTCTGTGCTTCTGACTTGGCATTTATTTCTAAAGATTCCAGTAATAATAAAACTAAAATAATTCTGTCTTAATTATCAGCTTGTTGTAATGAAATAGCATAGACTGCATAGCTCAAACAGACACTTCTTTCTTGTTGTGCCAGAGGCTGAAAAGTCCATGCTCAGGGATTGTCCAATTACCTGCCTGGTGAGGGTTCTCTTCCTGGTTTGTCTACTAAGTGCTTTCTTGTTGCTGTATCTTCCTATTGCAGAAAGAAGGGAAGAAGAAAGGGGAAGTAGGGGAAGGAAGGGGAAGGAACATTCTTCCCCTCAGGACACTAATCCTGTCACAGACCTCTCCCTCCTGTGGTCTCCTCTGAACCTGATCACCACCCAAAGGCCTCACCTCCTGACAGGCTCTTGTGGAGGGTTAGGCTTCAGCATTGTATTTGGTGTGATAAGCGTTCTGTCCATAACAAATAGCAACCGTGTATATGGTTTATGATGTGCCAGGTAGTGTTTTCAGCACCTTTCATTGATTAACTCATTCAATCTTTACTATAATTCAAGATGTAAACTTTATATTATTATCCCCATTTTACAGATAAAGAAATGGAAGTACAGAGTTTAAATAACTTGCTTAAGTCCTACAGCTATTAAGTTGTAGAGCTGGAATTCTATCCCAGTCTGGATTCTGACTGTGTTCTCAACCATAGTTTTAAAGGTTGTCATTCTCAGTAGGAATATAAACTGTTACAATGGTGACATCTTGGTGTGACCAATCAGCAGCATGTCTTAAATCTCAGCTGTTAAAATGATTCAGTTCTGTTTTCATTCAGTTATGTTCTCAGGATTTGTGTTTCTCAGAAGGGACTCAGATTTGCTGTAAACTTAAGTCAGATGGCTGTTCCCTGTTTGGATGATTGACAGCACAGGACATGAGCAGGGCATGTTTCCAAGGGAAAAGCAGGGCCCTATGCCCAAGAAAGGAGAAATTGGCCGAATCAGCAGAGGCCTACTTACAGCAAGGTTCATTTCAGAGCAGAAGGGATTTAAGTGACAACTTTGATTTAAACAATAAATGCTTTGGCTATTGCCTGAATTTAAATGTGTGACAAATGTTTTACATTTAGTTCTAAAAAATTAGCCTTTCCTGGTTACCTGAGAATTCATTTAGCTGTTTTCAAACATATTAAAAAATATAATAACATCAATCCACAGGTAACCATCTTCAAGCTTTAATAATTATCAACATTTTGCCCAGCTTATCACTATTTGTTGCACTTTATTTTTTCTTCAACTTTTTCTTAGCACCTGTGTGCAGTACATATATTTATACCCCTGTGTGGAGTTGGTATGTGTACATAACATTTCTTAATTCCTTCCTCCATCCCCTGCCCTCTCCTCCTGTTGATCCCTTTCCCATTTGAAAAGATCTATGTACCTAGTTCCTTTTATATATGTTTTATTTTGCTCTTTATTTATAATCTGGACTTCTCTTATAAGATATACCAAGTAATATTTAAGCTTGTGTGTCTGATTTATCTCACTTAACATTACGCTCTGTGGTGCATCCATTTTTCTACAAATGGTTCAGGTTCATCTTTCCTTATGGCAGGGTAGTACTATACTGTACGTATGTGCCACATTTTCTCTCTCCATTCTTCTGTCAGTGGATATATAGGCTGCTTCCAAGATGTAGCTATTATGGATTATTTGCTGCACTTTAAGACATTATTATAAGATGGTTTTATAACTTGCTGTATAAAGATTCATAAGATTTAACATGCCTGAAAATTTGTTTTAGAAACATAAATCCAAGTATCAGGTTGTCATTGAGAAAGAGAGAAACAAATATAGCCCTATACATGAATAATGCATTATTTACCTGAGAATAGAATTTTATTTTTATCAATGCTTTTACTGGCTTGATCAATCAATTCCTTAACAACTCTGTTTTCAGATTACCTCTACCAAATTTGTCTAGTAATCCCAACAGTCTCTGGGCACGAATTGGCCGTTTTATTTGACTATAAGCTCTGCCTACAGATGGGCGTGTGCGTTGTGTGACAGCTGACTGTGCTATGGTTTCTTTGTAGTTGAAAGATGCATGAGCGTAATGCAGTCCGGGACGCAGATGATCAAACTGAAGCGTGGGACCAAAGGCCTTGTACGGCTCTTTTACCTGGATGAGCATCGGACCTGCCTGCGTTGGCGACCGTCTAGGAAGAGTGAGAAGGCGAAAAGTAAAAGCAACTTGTGAATTCTTTGCTTGGACTAACACAGTAATACATGGGTAACACTGGGTAGGCTCTGTGGAAGCTCCAGATCTATGGAACTTGCACGTAGTTGCAAGTTTTGAGGTCAACTGGTCATGGATGTAGAGACAAATGATGACCGTTGGTGAGGAGCTGAAATTATTAAAAGTTTTCTTGTCCTTGCATGTTGTAAATGGTAATATTTCCTGTATTGGAGGTGTGATGTGTGTTTTAATTGGGATAGAAGATTTTTATAGGTGAGACCTTTTATTTTTCTCTAAAAAGTAAAGGATATCATAAATCCAGTGGGTTTTAAATATATTGCTATATTCCTTGCACAGTCTAATTAATGAATTACCAACACTGTTTTAATGGTGTCAAGTAAAACTGTTTTGATCTGACTCGTATTACTTAAAGCTCCTCTCTTCCACACTGTGTTAGTCAGTGTCCCCCAGAGAGATGAAACCAGTAGGATGGAGAGATAGATAGATAGGATTTTTATTAAGGGTATTGACTTGTGCTTATGGAGGCAGAGAAGTGTCACAATATGTCATCTGTAAGCTAGAGAACCAGAGGAGTCAGCAGCATGACTCAGTCTGAGCCTGAGGCCTGGGACCAGGGGAGCTAATGTAACTCTCAGGCTGAGGTTGCCTGGGCTGCTGCTAAGAGTCTGGCTCTCTGGGCATCCCTTAAGCCAGGCAGGTGGGCACTGTAGAGAAGCTACTGTGCCCACCTTGTGCGCTCAGCACCAAATCCTTGGTGGGGCTCCTGTAACTTTTCTCACATCGGCTTTTTCCTTCCTGTTTTCATGGTAACCATGTGGGTTGAGTCTCCTCACCTTGTGGGTGGCCTATTGTAAAGTCTCTGAACCAGCCTCCCTTTTGCTACTTTCTTTTATCTCTATTAGTAACAGAAGAACTTGGCTAAATGAACCTTGTGACAAAGAATGTTATTAATTCATCTAACAAAAAGCTCAGTGGTGGGAAAGCCCAGGTGTGGGCTTTAGTCCCTCATTCTGTTCCCTGTAGTGTGCCTGGCCATTGCAGCCACAGCAGTGGCGACATAGCTGCAGTAGTTCTGGGCCTCACAATTAGATAGAACAATGAGGAGGAGAGGAGAACCCCTCTCTAGACCTTTCCTTCAAGCAGACTATCCCATGTCTGCTTGGCTAGAATGAAGTCACAAGTGCATACCAGAATCCAAATAAATAAACACAGGGCTACTCTAGTGGCTTAAATCAGCCAAGACTTTCTCTGGGTTGAGCACAGGCCTATTTTACTGTGAGTCAGGTGAGCTATGTGGGAATCTTGATACAACTGGGGTCCCGCTGTGAAGGTAGAGTGAGGAATAGTTTGTACTGGCAAATGATGGGACATGCAACACTTCCAATGCTTACTTGAAAATTAACAATAAAGGAAAAATGATTTTACTTGATGTTATCCTAGTCAGCAATTCTCTGACACGAAACTTCAGTGTTCCAGCGTCGCATCACTTCCTACACAATGCAAATGGTACCATTCTAGCGTCTCCTCCATCTAGCCTTATTTGTCTTTCCAGATTCATCTCCCATTTTTGTTTCTCCTGAGTTCTTGGTACTGGCATAGACCTCTTGTTTCTGCATCTTCCTGCCCCTTCCTTTGAGAAGACACCTTGCTCCTGCTCTCCAAACTTGGCTTTATCTTCACCCCCACAGCAGTCTCTCTGTGGATGCCTGTTTTGTTAGCTGTGCACTATGGGTGCCAGTAACTTTTCTTCTTTCCAATTTTTAAGTTATCCCATGCATTTTAGAAAATACCAGTCACCTTCAGGTCTTTGTATAACTTTCTGCCATATTGTAAACTATAAATTTGACTCACTTTTTTTAAAACCAATTTTCATGTCCTCATGAGTATATCTATTTTTTATTAAAAGTTTCAACACATTTTGAATCATTGACTTGGGAGGACACTGTCAAGCATGTGTGGAGAAGTGGGCTGGAGGTAGAGTGTCTGGCTTGCATGGCCTCCTAGGTCCATTCTCAGCACCATTACAGAAAATTTGGAAAAACAATTATGTGAAGATGTTTTCTTGCAGGAAAAACAGGGAGAGTGTTCTAAATTTAAAACTACAACCTGCTGATGACAAGTCTTTTCATACTTTTTTATATTTAAAATGATGTTGCATTTCTTGTTTTTTGAGTGTGTGTGCATGCAGGTGTGTGTGTGTTTTGGGGGAGTGCTTTATTACTCAGCACTCCTTTTTTATTTATTTTTATTATATTCATAGCCCTTTTTATTCATTTATTTTTATTTTGAAAGAGTCGCCACCCTTCTGCCTTAGCCTCCTGAGTGGCGTGGGATTGTAGGCCTGTGCTGTCATGTCTGATACTTTTCTTGTTTCTAGCTCAGCACAAGTTAAGATCTTTACCTGCCAGTAACCGTGTGTCTGCTTCCCTCCCCAGTCCTTATCGACTCCATTTACAAAGTCACTGAGGGCCGGCAGTCTGAGGTGTTCCACAGACAGGCTGAGGGGAACTTGGATCCCAGTTGCTGCTTCACCATCTACCATGGCAACCACATGGAGTCTCTGGACCTCATCACTTCCAACCCCGAGGAGGCCCGCACCTGGATCACAGGACTCAAGTACCTGATGGCTGGCATCAGTGATGAAGATTCTCTAGCCAAGAGGCAGAGGACTCATGACCAATATCCACTCGAGCTTTGCCTTTGAGTTACGTGTGCGTGTGTGTGAGATTAGGTGAAGTGAGATTAGACTATACTCTGTTCTGAGTTTAAAGCCACTCTCCTTTTTGACCTTTTCTTCTGTCCTTTGTACCCTTCCCTCGCCTAGCCTCTTTCACTCCATGAAGACAGATACATAAATCTACAGAGACCTAAGACTGAGCTCATGAGCAAAATTCTTCAGATAATACTGAATTTAGCTCCACAGTTTTAGAGATTTCCAATTAAATCTCTAAAATAAATATTGCCTTTTTAAATTAGTGGAGCATTCATTGATAGTAACAGTGAAAGCACTGATTTGGGTTAGCAAAAATGCTGTTTAATCACAGCCAGCTTACTTTAACAAATAACTTTTAAAGTTTCAATTATGTAGCAGGCTGTAAACTCCTTTCTGCTTTTTCATTTAGTTTAGGAACTAAATTGATAAATACACATGAGGAAGTTATTTTCTACTTATCCTTTCTAAATAGCTCGAGAAGTGAGTATCTTAGTCAATTCTTGATGAGACGCATTCAGTGGTCTTGCAGTGTACAGAGATGCATGGTGCACTCTCATCCCCTGGGGCCGCCTTCCAGCTCGGAGTGTGACAGGGCCTTCTTGGCCTCGCGTCCTTGTCCTGGAAGTGAGTGTCTCTGGGCACTGGCTGCGTTGCTTCTTTTGTTTATTTTGAATGACCTTGACATTCACATGGCCTGTCTGTGTAGGGGAGAGTGGGGTTTCCTTGGTGACCTTGGTAGTGTGTCCCCAATTTCTTAGGAGTGGTGATAAATCTGAAGTGCTCTGTCCACCTCCCTCACCCCCACCCCCATTACTCAGGGCATGGCAGGAGCGGAGGGACCACAGAGTCCATGGAAGGAGCTTGGCAGCGTGAGGCCCGAGCTGACTGATGAGCCTGCTTTCATCAGCCTTACCACGTGCAGAGCAGTGCAAGTGGGATTCATGAGTGAGTAAAACACACGTGCAGAAACTAACTCTGTGTGTCTCAGTCAGATTCTTAACCTTTAATGTTTTGGAAAAAAATAAAATCACTAAGTTTAAGAATGACTTCTTGTATAAGGAGCAGAAACTGTATTAAAGGTGCTTTAAGTGATAAAGAAATCGCGTACACCCCCTCCCCCAGGTGAAGTGGCACATTCCTGTAATCCCAGTGCTGGGGAGGCTGACAACAGGAGGATCATTATGAGTGCGAGCTGCACAGAGAGACCCTGTACTGAACACATTAAATAAATAAATAAGATAGATAAAGAGCTCAACTGTGTCTTAAATGAGAGTGCTAAGCTGGGGCAGAGCTTACCAGAGCTGACCAGTCCAGGTCGGCTGCCGTAATCAAGACAGCTGGAGCATCCTCAGGAGCTCCAAACAACTCTGCTAAAGATAGTGAAGTTTCTACCAACAAAGCTTCTTATAAAGCAAAGAAAAACTTCCAGAGCACCCCAAAGAGACCTTTCATCCTTAGCCAGAATTACAATGTCAGATCCATTCCTGAGCTGACCGTAATAAGAGAAATTACTTGATACAATTAGAATTTGACTTATTTCTTCTTTTTTAAATTTATCTAGTACAGGGTCTCAGTACACTGCTCAGACTCATAGTGATCCTCCTATTTTCAGCCTCCCCAGAGCTGGGATTACAGGCGTGTGCCACCACACCAGGACTCGGTGGCCCATTGCGCATGCCTAGAGCAGGGCCAGCATTGCATGTGGTACAGGGGATCAAACGCAGGTCCTTGTGCTTGCCTAGGCAGGCACTTAGATCACTGAGCTGTCTCCATGGCCCTTCCTTTTTATTTTTTTTTAAAGAAGACATCAAAGACCTTTTTTTAAAATGTCAGTTCTACCTAATGATATTTGTCATGTTAGAGATTAAATCAAAATTTAAAAATTCAATTCATTTGTATTTTTATGAAAATGACTTTCTCAAAGAAAAATAAATTAAAAGCTATGTCACTGGAGTGTTTTGCAAGTATCTTTAATGATCAGCTTAATATGTAGAGCATGCAAGTTCTCATAGCTACTTCTGCATTCAGTTTGCTCTGATGTGTTATTTTAGGTTGAAATGCATCAGAAAATGCAGCCTCAGGTAGGCAGAAATTGGAAAGCCTCACTGTGTCCGAGCTGCTGCAGGACTTTGAAGATAGTTATTCTGAGGCCCCATGATTCACCCCTACGCTGTACCCCAACCACTAAAGCACATGGCTCTAAGTCTACAGTTCTAGGAAGGTGGGAAGGCAATGGTTATAAGGTAGATGGATAATCAGCCCTGGGATCTGTTGTCCTTTTCCAGTTAAGAGGCCTTGATGGTTTATACCTAGATGTTTCCCCCAAGTCTCATGATTCAGGGGTAAGCTTTGGGGAGGTCGTGGCTCATGGCAGTGGGATCTCACCAGTGGATTCGTCACTGATAGGTTTAAGGCTGAATATGATGTTGGCAGATAAAGCCTGGTTCAAGGAGCTGAGTCACTGAGGGTGTGGTCAGAATGGGTCCATCTCTTCCCCTCTCCCTTGATCTTCCTCTCAGCTGTCTATCTGCCATGCCGTGAGTTGTCTCTCATCTGCCGTGCCCTGCTACCATGCCATCTGCCTTAGAGCCAGTTAGCTATACACTGAGCTCTCTACAGACTGTGAGCCAAAAGGAGCTCCTCCTCCTTTAAATTGTGGCTGTCTGGCCTTTGCAGCAATGAGAAGGTAACTAAGACAGTAGGATACATTCAAATATTGCAGAGCCCTTAGTCAATGACATATCTATGAAGTCTTGAAATAAATTAGTAAAAGGTGGGCATAAATTGTGAAGCCTTTTTGCTTTATTGCTTAGCGCTTCTCCTAAACCTGATTTATTTTTCCATGTTTACTGGCATTTGAAAGTATTCATATTGATTTCACCAACTGTAAAGCTGAGGGATTTAATATTCTAAATTATGTTATCTGGAAAGCAAACACACCCCAGAACTGCACAGGGGAATGCTTTTGTAGGAAACTGAGAGGCAGCTGATGTTTGTCAGTGACAGGGGTCACTGGAAGAAGGGGAAGATATTAACACATGGTAAAGAAAAGCTGAAATACAAATATAGGGGAAGTTATTGAGATGGAACCATTCTCATACTAATTTGTCCAGGTTTGATAAAGTTTTAAGCGGTATCTTGTTAACAGAATGACATCCTTGACTGGAATACATTTAATTACACTAATTGAGAACAGATATGGGATGTTCATGATTAGACTTCACTTGCAGCTGAAACTTTCATGTGTGGATAAATAATGAGAATGACCAGTCTTAAATGGCTGAGGACAAAAATCCACCCAATCCAAAGTGCATTCTGCACTGTAGCCATATTGAGTGGAGATGGGTTTTGTGGTTAAGGACTCAGACCCTACTGCTGGGGCCGGCCAAGTCTGCTGCATAGTGTTTCAGGTCGGTGAATCACCCTCTTCCCTCACAGTCTGTCTACTTGTGACATGTTTCTGGTCCTAGTGCCTCCCCCATGGAGTTGTGGAGGACAAATTGACTGATACAAATGAAGTCCTGAGAATGCCTCTCAGCACTTAGTAAGCATGTTGCAAGTGAACTTCCATTGCTGGAGAGGTAAGGAGTGTCATATCTTTGGTTTTTCTGTGGGTAGGTTGAAGTCCACAATCTTAGCAACCCCATTGTACAAAAATGGCTGCTGGCATCCAGCCCCAACATTATCTGTCGTTAGGCCACCCCCTCCAGTTGTTCCCACCCTACTCATGACACCACAGGGAAGGTGTTTGCTGTAGAAGACCTTGAGCAGCCCTTGTATAGCTGCAAGTTAGAGCCTACTGTGTTGCCTCACACTGCAGAGGGACTCTGGCTTGCCACCTGTTTTTGTCTGGGCTCCCGAATTAAGACGTGCTTTAAATGGTTGAAAAAGAATCAAAAGACAAGTATTTTATGATGTGAAAATTATTTAAAATTTAAACTCCTGGGTCCATAGATGGTTTTGGTTAGAACACAACTATGCTCATTCCTGTGTGTATGGTTTATTGGGTTATTGTCATATAACAGTGGCAGAATGGAGTACTTGTAGGTGGGATCGAATGGTCTGCAATCTGACATACTTACCATGCGGCCCTGTACAGAAAATTTCCCTACTCTTGCTCTAAATAATTTCACTCCTTTTCTTTTGTTTCTAAGGATTAAACTAGGCTTCACACATGCTAGGCCAGCACTCTACCACCAAGCCACACCACCACTGCTTGATTTGTTAAGAACTATTGAGACAATGTCTTGCTAAATTGTCCAAGCTGGCCTCAAATTTGCAAGCCCACCAAGTAGTTAGGACTGTAGGTGTGTACCACCATGTCAGGCTTCATTCAGTTCTTTACCATTTTCCTATAGTTTCTTCATATAGAAAACACGAGCCCATTACTTTCATTAAATTTTATGCCCCTAGCTTTTCTCTGCAAAATGACTTTTTGTCTTTTTAAAGTTATACTGTATATGGCTATGGATCATTTATTCAGGGCTTTTCTAGGCCTTCGTACCTTACTTATGGAGATACCAGAGCACTTTCACCTGCAATTGTATATGAGTATTGTCACTGGAAAGAATGGTTTTTCCTTTCATAGAATCTTGAATTGGAGGAGACCTTGAAGCTATTTGTGTTCCCTGACACTGAGATGAAGACACAGAGGCTCCAAGAGGTGACGTAAGAGATCTTCTGTCATGGGGCCAGGTTAGCAGTAGAATTAGGACTAGGGTTTATTTCATGGTGTGACTCTGCCTTCATTTTTGCCTTGTGTGCCCTGTGTCCAACAAACCAGTTGTCACAACTAGCTCATGGGCAGGTGCTGAAGGCTTTGAGAAATAGGCCTGTCCTAAAGATATTGTGCTTGGCATTTGGGAGGCTGAGGCAGGAGGATAGCCACTGGTTTGAGGCCAGCCTAGGCTATATAGTGAGTTGAAGGCCAGTCTGAATGGCATAGTCAGACCCTGTCTCAAAAAAATAAATTTGGCTATATTTGAAGAATATACTTAGACCTAGGGGGTTTGGATGTCTGCTTCTTCTCTGCGGAAGACTTTGAAAGGCTTTGTAGAGAAATGTAGAATAAAGATACTGTCTCTGGGCTCATTTCACCACTTCTTTGTTCTCTACCTCATGGAGCACCAAAGTGTTCCCAATCGAAAGAAGCAGAGTGCATGTGTGCCATTGTGGCACTTTTTCATTGTGTGCCCGGAAAACACAAAAGGCAAGCTTCAGTTTTTGTTAGTAATTGGCCCTAATTAGTCACCATTTTGAATCTTCAATTATTTTCCCTCCATATTTCTGTCTTCTTTTAACTTCCAGGTAACACAGATAATGACTCAGGTCTATGAAAAAAAATCAAACTTGAAAGGTCTGGGCTCTTATATCTATTTATAAAAGTTATAAAGGGAACAAAACAGGAAATAACGTATTTGCTATCTGAAAATTACCTAATTCTAGAAGGAAGAAAGGTTTTCTTTCTGGTGGTTTTTACTTTCTAAGGCACAATCTTCTATCATCAAAATTTGAATTACATAAGAAATATAAATGTGCTATGGGAGTTATCACTGGGAGTTAAGATGGAAATTGTTGGTTGGCTTTTTCCTCTGACGCACTTCCATTCCTTGATTCCTTGGTTTCTAAGCCCGTGGCTTTCCCTTGGAGCCTCTGGTCTCTTTCATCATTTCCATTCTTTTCCTTTCCATTACCCTTCAAACTTTGAGCTTCATTTTGGCATTCTGAGCACACACAGTATGCCCCCCTTCTGGAATGTCCCACTCAACAACTGTGAGTCACTTAATAACAAATCCCTTGCTTTTTGAAAATTAGCTGGCAAATTTCAGGTCATCCATTTATTTTGCTTTTCAAGGATGTAAAATAAGCTCAGGCTCATCTCATAGAAGATCTTACAAAATCTCAATCAATAGGATGTTTATCCTTTGTATCACTGTCATTTCCTCAGTCATCTCATCTTATTCCTGACATTTGAGGACAACACCTAGCAAAGTAAGATTTCATCCCTCATTGCCATGGTTAGAAGTTTGGACCTGAGAAGAGAGAACTGCCAAAGCTGGAAATGGGAAGAGGAATGTAATGTGAAGAGAGGTCTGAGTGGAGGGGCGATAGGGCTAGATCAAGTAGTAGGAGGCCTGGGTCTGGGACCTGGTTCTCTCATCCATTGCAGCTAAGTATTTCCTTCTCTTTTAGAGTAGTTTTATACCTTCATCTGGATAATGATAATCTTATGTTTAAAATATTGAAGTGGCTCTCAAAAGAATTGAAATCCAGTACCAGAAGGGTTATGAAGAAAGGATGCTGCATGAAAGGGCATAGGAGACGATAATGGCTAAATGTGTTGTACTGGGGTTTCATCATGAAGATATCACTGAACAATGTGTTTCTGAATTAGAGTTCCTGCTGCATACCATCACTATGCCTCATAAATGGACTCTAAATGTTATACATATGACGTTACATTTTATATTTAGATTACCCCCCAAGGGCTTTATGTGCTTATAGGTGGGGCTTTGGAAAGGTGATGAATCGGGGGTCTGGGTGCTCCTCACTGGTGAGTGCACTGATGAGCTTTAAGTTCAAAGTGATGCTAGCAGGTGAAGCCTGGTTGGAGGAGGTAGAGCACTGAGGGCATGACCTGGAAGGATTTCATCTCCCAGGGCCCTCCTTTGATCTCTCTCAGCTTCCTGCTGCCATGCTGTAAGCTGTTTCTCTGGATGTCTCTCTCTCATGGTCCCCTGCTGTGAAGCTAACTATGGCCTGAAACTTCTACAAGCTATGAGCTAAAATAAATGTTTCCTCAGAGCTGCAGGTGTTGGGTATTGTGTCTCAGTGACAAGAAAAGACATTAAGATTTGTGTTTGGTAGTATAACAGAAAATTTGGTTGGGAAATGAGAAAATAAATCTAATATTATTTCATTGTAAGTGAAATTATATGGAAATGTTTTTGGCTTATGGCACTTATTAATGGAGATGTGAATTAAGGTATTGTCTTCTTGCTAGAGCAGAATCAACTAGAAATGTGGTTCTCTCCCCCTCAAAATTGATGAAATATGTTGCAATTATAGACCTAATGTTTGTTTGGATAAGATTGGATATGAATATTTGAATTAAAGAAACTCTCAAAATAGTCTGGGTCTATTTTGAGACCCAGACTCTTACTTCACATTGGTGGATGCCTTCCTCCCGGTTCCTGGCTTACCAGCGCCCATGGGCTGCAAGGTCTCATCAAAAAATGCCCTTTCTGGTTCCCTGTTATTGGTAAATATCCTTGTGAGTGTTCTGTGAGACAGCAGTTTTTGTTTGATGAAAATACAAATGTTTTCTTTGACCGTTGTGCACGTGGGTGAAACAGACCTTTGAGGAAGCTGATAAGAACGGTGATGGCTTACTGAATATTGAAGAGATACACCAATTGATGCATAAACTGAATGTCAATCTGCCTCGAAGAAAAGTCAGGCAAATGTTTCAGGTATGTCTTCACAATTGCATTGGCCTTATGTAAAGCACATTACTGATGAACTTAGGCTATTTTTTTATTGATGTCCACTGATGCTACTTGCTTCATACTATTTTATTTTTCTTTGGTAAAGAGTTATTTTGTTTTCATCAAAGAAAAAGTCATAAACTAAACGTGCATTCACTCTCTGAAATGCTTTTTCTGGTTGCTGTGTTCAGATAAACACTTTCACTGGATGGACTAAGCTCAATCGAGGCCCTTGCAGGTGACAAAAATATCTCAACTGCTCACCCCTCAGGGCTGTTATGAGGATGGGAGTAAAACCGTGTAATGTGGGAGAAAGCACTTGTCTGAGGCCTCAAGAGCTTTCTTGCTTTGAAGAGTTTAAGAATTGAAACTTGGACATGCTAAGTACTCCTGCTGTTCAGTGAGCTCCCCAGAACTGCGCTCACTGCATTTTGGTGCTAGACAGGATGCTCTTTCCCAGCTGGTAAACCACTGAGGACAGTCCTCTAGTTAGAACTTACTCTGGCATCTACTGAGGACTGTATTTAGTCCCTAGTTTAAGATGCAGAAGAGAACTCAGTTAATTGAGGGTAATAACAATGTTAGACTATTACTGATGAACTAGAAGATTAATTTGCAAGAGGCAATTATTTGAAGATAAATCATAAGTATAGTCCATGTTTTGTAATAATTTTCTACTAAGTGACCAGGTCGGTGACACTTTGTACAAGTAAAAGTAAGCATTAAGAGAGAAATGTGTTGCTTTGTATTTGATGTTGCTATTGTTTTCTCATCAGTTGTTCTCACAGAGGATGAGGACAGAAGCAGAGACAGAAACAGGGGTAAGAGTTGGAACAATTAAGGGAAGACTGCCGGGTTTCCTCCCAAGCTCCTTTAGTGTGCCCACGTATGAGGGAAGCTGGAGGTGCGTGCACTGTGGGGAACATGGTCCCACTGCACTGGAAAACCACATGTGGGAAAGGCCTGAGGAGGCAAGAGTGAGATGTCCTATGCAGATGGAGGAGTAGGCTTTAAAAGGGGAAGCGATCGTTGCAAATAGAGTGAATTTTCTGCAAACTGAAGTTTTATCATGTCCCTGGCATTCTCTTTGTCATCTCACTTTTGCCTTGTCATGAGCCCCACCTCTCCATCTGCTCCCTTTTACATCCATGGCCAAGAATACCGAAGAGGCAGCTGCTGCTTCTGTCTGAGAGGGCACGCTCAGAGAGGAGGCAATGTCTGTACCTACCCACACTGTAGGTGGTTGGTGCTTTATGGCAGGAAGATAAGGAAGTAACAAGATGTTGAGCTATTTTTACTTTTATATTTTTTCCTCTTCAAATATTTATTTTAGAGGGTAAATTAGAGAATCCTTATGTTCAATTTCTTGTGTAGAAAATATTGAGTCTTTTAAATCTTAGGTTAGAAACTTGTCAAGCCAGCAGAGACCAGGCAGGTGGCTGTACCTGCTGTGTGTAGAGTCTCCACCGTGGGTCTTGTACCCACCCAGCAGAGGTTTGCAAAAGCTCCTGGTGGGAGTGGTTGGTCCTCATGAGAACTGAAGTATGGGTGGAGGATCCCTCATCTGAAGTATTAGAGATCAGAAGAATTTGGACTGTAGATTTTGTATTTTGGAATATTTGTTTTTTTCATTGTTGTTTTTTGCGGCACTGGGGGTTGCACTCAGGATCTTGTGCTTGCCAGACAAGCACTTATTCTACTCAGCTATCTTCCCAGCCCTATTTTGGAATATTTATGTATGTGTAATAAGATATGTTACAGATGGGAATTAAATTTGAACACCAAATTCATTTATGAGATGTGATCAAAGTATACTTTAAAAGATACATGACTACTTGTATTAATTTGTTACAGTAAAAGACAAATTCTAATTAATTTAAGATAGTCTTCCTTGCTCAAGCACACTTGTGCTATCATTTTGACCCTTCTGAGGCAGTTCTGAAAGTCCTCTTTTTAGAGGGCCTGTAGGAGGGTAAAAATATGTGAATGCTACTGTACTTACACTGGAAAAGCTAACAACATTAAAGTGTTTCATCTATACTTTTCACTGGCTTGGGTACCACACAACTTCTGACTCTTCCCACAAGCCAAAATCACCATGGAAGCCAAACATTTTGAATTGATGCAGGATATCCAGGCAACCAGGATAGCCCCACTAAAGACACGAATGAAGACTTCTAACACTGAAGTCAGAAAGTAGCAAGAATGAGGGATTAATGTGATCAAAGTGAGGGGATTAATGGCAGTTGTCTTTTACTGTAATAGATTTAAAAGTTATTCATATTTTTGAATATACATCATATGTTTCATATAGACTTTTTACATCTAACTGGAAGGTAACCTGATGCATTTCTAATGCATCTGTGTTTTAATTACAATTTTTTTTTTTTACTCTTTGGAAAATTTATTTTATTTTTTTAAATAAATTCTATTGGGAAAGTAGTGGCAATGAGACAGTTTCAAAATAGGTTAGTAGGACAGTTACAATAATGAATATATTGCATATTGTCTTTGTAGTAGTTATTCATAGTGCAAGATGCAGATATGATATCTTGTCTAAACACTGTTAGTTCAAATTAATTACAATTTTTGATATGAGATGAGGTGAAGAATTTTCCATTTATGGTGTCAAAACATTTTGGATTTGGAACATTTTGAATTTCAGACTTTTAGCTTAGGGATGGGCTTGTCATTAGATAAGGATGGTAAGCCTGTATTGCTTTAGAACATTTTCTTTCTTTTGATGATATATCTGGCAAAGACATTAAAGCCTTCAACAGTTTTATTTTTTTCTGTTGCAATAGAAGTGATTTTTTAAAAAGTAAATTTTTCAAAGTATGAATTGCTTCTTTTGAAGTTGTTAGATGTTGTTTAAACCTTAAGAGTTTTACTATTAATTGGGTAAGCATTTACATGAATGTCTTTTGAATGCCATTTTATTTCTGTATCTAAGATTAAATATTTTAGTACAAAATATGAACATTAGGCCTACTTTCTTAGGATGCAAAGACTTTCCACTTTGGTGCCTTCCCCTTAAAAAAATAGAGATATTCTTATAGTCCAGTCTACCTTTCCTTTAGATAACAGAAGGCCAGAGTGATCAGACACGATAAAGTTGCATGGGGTTAACATATTGATTAGTGTTGGCTCATAATTGACCCAAAGTTAACAAAATTTAGAGAATTTTTATAAACATTTTGACTTTCCAATTAAGTTTCAAACCATGTAACCGTTGAGCATATTTCACAACATCCATGTATTTCAAAACTACGTATTTATTCCCTTTCAATTTTGTTTGTTGTTTACAACTGAGTTCACGCTGAATGAAGATTATGTAACCATTGTGTCCCTAGTAGTTTGATGACAAATTCAGCTGATCACAAATAAGATACATGGTAGAATTTTCTCACTCAATAACTATTAGAAACAAATAATTTAATGTGAGTATCAATCCAGATGGATTGTTCTGACTTTTCCAAGGAAGGATAAAAGGGCAGTATTACGGGTGGGGTGGCATGAAAACACTGAGGTCACCTGTGGAGAATCAGAGACTCTCTTACAAGAAAAATTAGATCACTTTTCAGAGGCTGGTGTGTTTGGCATGCCTTACATGCATTTTTTTCTTGATTAGTCTTATCTAAGATTTTTTTATCATTAGTTTATTAAAAAATCTGCTTTTGATTTTCTTGATTACCTTTGTATTGTGTTTTCTATCTCATTGCTTTCAGTTTTTGTTTATAATGTATGTCCCATTTTCTTTGTTTTAAAATTTTCTAGCTTTTTGAGTTGACTTATTTGCTATTTTTAATGTACTTTGCCTTCTAATAAATTGACTTCCAGTATTTAAAAATGTTCTCACTTTGTTTTATTGTAAAAGTTTTAATATGGATTGGTTTTCACTTCTGTGTGTTTTATTTTTTATTTAGAAATGTATTATATTGCTTCCATGGTTCTTTTTCAGGCTTTCTCTGTTGATTTATAAATTTCCTGTGGTCAGAGAAATTGGTTTGTATTAGGTTGAATTTTGTTTTTATAATTTGTTAAAACTTTTTGTGACCTAATACCTGATCATATTTCATAATGTCTTGTGTGTACTTATGCAGAATGTGTTCACCGTTTGTGATTTTGGTATTGCCCCTATTATAGCAAATTATTTTCCTACACTGAATTGTTTTCATTTTGCTATTTTGAAATCTCATGCTGCTTTTTTTTCTCACCTACCCTTTTCAGGAAGCTGACACAGATGAGAATCAGGGAACTTTGACATTTGAAGAGTTCTGTGTTTTTTACAAAATGATGTCCTTGAGGCGCGACTTGTATCTGTTGCTCTTGAGCTACAGTGACAAGAAAGACCATCTAACAGTGGAAGAGCTGGCTCAGTTTTTGAAGGTCGAACAAAAGGTATCATTAGATCACTGAGCTGAATGTTTATTTAAAATACTAGTGAGAGATAGCTACCTGTGTTTTGGAGTTAGCTGGAGGTGTATCTTACATCTAGGCTAGGGGAAAAGCTATTACAAGTCCACAAAAGTCTTACCTATGAGTCATCATATCAAACATGTTTCTTATGCTCTAAGAAATGATAAATTGAACACTGGTTTTGACAATTTTTTACTTTAAATAGGTTGAGTGTGGATACACGTTTTTTCCACAAAGACATGGATGTTAACTAACATATTTCATTTTGGATATAACGGCAATGTTTTCCTTCTACTAACTCAATGAGGTGAAGCTGTGTTTTAGTTCTTAAAGTATGAATTATTATTGATAAAAACACAAATTGATATTTATGCTAGTAATATGACTAGTTATTTAACTATGATATAATTGTTAACCAACAGTGTAGTATGTTGTTTATAATTCTGAGAGAAATTGGTGTTTGATATTGTGAAAGGCTAGTTAGATCCTGATTAGCAAAGGAAATTCCTAAGTCTGTTTAGACAAATCATTTTAATTTTAATAATATATAGACTCTGCTGTGTTCAATAAAGTTAACCTTTTCATACTTCTGTTCTTATATCTTCTTACACTCCATTTGTGTCTTAACATAGTAAGAAAATAAATGAGTATTTTATTAGAGTTTTTTAACTTTTTACATTAGTTTTTTTTTTATGGGAGGCTTTGGTTTTGTTTTAGTTGATAAAGTTTCCCTTTAACTTTCTGTAGATTTAGGGACTCATAGACCTAATATGAGGAATGTATCTCCTTTATCTATTTAAAATTAAATGTACTTCTGTTAATTGTGAGGAGACATCAAATATTTGGATAATATTATATAATAATCAGTAGAAGAAAATCTTAAGTACTCATACAAATAGTTATCCTATATTTGAAAATGTCTTCCTTTCATAAAATAGTTTTATTGGGATACGATTCATGCAGAATTTACCCTTTTAAAGTATGCAGGTCAGTAGCTTTCAGTATATTCACAGTGTTGTGCAACTGTCACCACTAATTTCAAAACATTTTCATCACAGGAATAAACTCCATGCCCATTAGCAGTCATTCCCTATTTCTTTTTCTCCCAAAGCATGGCAACAATTAACATGCTTTCTATCTCTATTGATTCACCTATTTAGGAAATTTCATATAAAAAGAATCATGTGGGCTGACCAGTTAGCTCAGTGGACTAAAGTGCCTGCTTAGGCAGACGCAGGGACCGTGGTTCAATCTCCGGTGTGGCGTGGTGTGCTGGCCCACCTGGGAATGGTCTGGCACGCGCTGAGATGAGCTACAGTGACAAGAAAGCCCCTGGGATGCGCTGAGATGGTCATTGAGACTAGGCGTGGTGGCATAGGCCTGTAATCCTAGCACTTGGGAGGGTGAAAATAGGAGGATCACTATGAGTCCAATCTGTGTAGTGAGACTCTGTAAACCCTGTACTAAATACATTAAAAAAAAAAGAATCATGTGATATGTGGCCTTTACTATTGGCTTCTTTTATTTAGCATAGTTTCCAAGGTTCATTCATTTCAGAATGTAACAGCTGGGTATGAGACCCAGGGCCCCATGCAGTGTAAATAATCTCTGTGCCACTCAGCCCTGATGCCAGTCCCCTTCATTTCTTCTTATTGCCTCTTACATTTCTTCTTAAACAACCTAACATTATACCTCATTTTGTTTATGATATTTCCTTTTTTTATCATTTCTTGATGGACATTTTGGTTGTTTCTATTCTCTGACTATTATGAATAATGCTGCTATGAACATTCATGTTCAAACTGTTATTAGGACATATGATTTAAATCCTTTTAGTATATAGCAAAGTGGAATTGCTGAGTCAAGTGGTTTGAGTGCTTTTTATAATCTGGACCTGGATATTGGAAGGTTCTACCATGGAGCCTCAGTGAATGCAACATGGGTCTATATTTGAATATTAGCAGGTGATAAATTTTCACTGATTCTAAGAAGTATAGCTGAGGATGGACTGGTTGGCTTTGAGAAATTGTAAGTTTTGCTTCCTGGAGGTGATAACAGGAGTTGGAGTTGATAAGAAGGATATCATACATGGTGAATGAGTAACATTTTGGATTAATTTATTCCCTGTATGGCTACGTAGTATGTATCCCATGTATTATGCTAAGTTTTGGAAATAGACAAAAATCTGTGACTTTAAACGTCTGTAGTAAGGGCAAAAAGAATGCTAAGACGCAAAATTGCAGTTTTTAAGGTTTGCCAAATTTTCCCTTTTGGAGAAGAATATAGAATTTATTATAATTTAGTATATAATAATTTATTATATTTAAAAATCATCATTGTACTGTATTGTTTTTCTGGACCTTTTGTTTTACGAGTACATTTGTTAAGACACTATAATATTAATTAGTAATACATTGTTTATATATGGAATCATGCTATTTAGCTTTGGTTGTAATTCGTATTATTTTAATGGTTTCTTCTTCTTCTTCTTTTTTTTTTTTTTTTTTTTTTTGGAGGAACCGGCGGTTGGACTCAGGCCCTTGTGCTTGCCAGGCAAGCGCTTATTTTACTGAGCTATCTCCATCTCCCCAGCCCCCTTTGTGGAATCATGCTATTTAGTTTTGGTTATAATTCATATTATTTTAATGATTTTCATTATAGAATCATTCAAAAGTTTTAGCTACTTGTACTTTTTCCTACTTAACCAAAAAATCATCAGTTGTACTTAATATAGTTCAAAACCTATTTGTCATTCATAATCTGATTCTTAAGTAAAAAAATGTATCAGTGATTCAAAATCTACTCTAGATTGAAGTAGGTAAACATTTTTGTCAGTGAAATGCAATTGTTTGAGTTGCTTCTTATATGTAGATTCATTTGGTGATCAACTTCAACTTTTTGTGTGAGAAGAATAAATATATATGATATGTATACACATATACATGTATGTGTATACATATCATATACATAATATTTGTGTATACATATCATATATATATAGCATTTATTTAATTTTGGCTCATGTTTTCAGCTGTAGTTGGGTGTCTCCAAGGCAGGAAGACATGGTGCAAGGATCTGGTAGAGGAAAACTGCTTGTATCTTATTGGCCTGAAACAGAGAGAGAAGTGAGGGCTGTCAAGGGGAGATACCCTACCAGGTCATGGTCACCTATTGCCTGCCTCTTCTGGCTAGACCTGACCTCACAACAGCAAATGAACTATATCCTCCCAGGATTCAGTCACCTTCCAGAACCTTCACTGAGGAGCTACTCATGAGGCTTTTGGAAGAAATTCTTAATTTAAATCATAGCATTCTATTCCTGGCCCTCAAAAGACTCATGTGCATCTCTTTATGCAAAAATGAATTGAACCCATCTCTAAGAATTTTTGAAGTTTTCTCAGTTGCAACACTGCTAAAAAGTCCAATCCCAAAATCTCTGAGTCTGAAGGTAAATTCTTAGCTGTGAGCCACTGTAAGAATTAAAAAGAAAGTTAAGCACTTTCAACATTCAGTGTGATAGGGGAAAATTTTCTATTCCAAAAGGAATAGGTGGATGGAAACCAATGGGACCAAAAACCCAGTAGAGAAACATTAAATCCAACAACTATATGTCTAGCTTTTGGGTAAAGAGATGAATTCCAAAGAGCTTGGGTGACCCTGTCACTATGACTGGTCTATTGAAGTCCTCCTGTCATTTCTCTTGGGCAGGTTTCACCCACTGCCTGTCACATTTCTTAGATATTTCACATTACTAGCTTCTCCAACTTCCTGGAGTCTCCAGTGTATTTTCAGCTTTACATTCAAAGCTTCACATGCTGACTGGCCTATCAGACTTCTTCTGACATATAGCTGGAAACCTCTCTGTTCTTACAATTCTTACACTCTGGATGCCTATAATATAAGCACCAGGTGGGCCATGCCTAGGTCTGCCTCCAGTTTGAGCAATATTCAACCCCCCTTGTATCATGGCTGCAAGGGCCTGGGTGACTCAGCACTGTGAATAGAATCCGGGGGAGCCAGTGCCCTGTGCAGCATTTCTGGAGCATGGTGCCCTCTGATTCTCCTTATCTTTTATTTTTATTTATTTATTTTATTTTTTGAGGAACTCGGGATTGAACTCAGGCCTTTTTACTTGCCAGGGAAGTGTTTATTCCCTGAGCCATCTCCCCAGCCCCTGATTCTTTTTTTTTTGGCAGAACCGGGGATTGAACTCAGGACCTTGTGCTTGCCAGGCAAGCGCTATATTCTACTGAGCTATCTTCCGGGCTCCGCCTGCTGATTCTTTTTAAAAAGCAAAGTCTTCCATTTTTTCACCTTGTAGCTTGGGAAAGGTGGGGTTTCAATTATTCTCCATATGTCCTCAAGGTATCTTTTCTGTTGTCCTGAAGACAAGTACCTAGCTTCTTTATTTATGCTAACCCTTTTAACAATGAAGCTCTATTCAGCCAAAACCTGACAGGCCTCCTTGCTGGGAAAACCAAAAACTTTTCAAATGGGCTTTTTGTTCCCATTTTTCAATATAAATCTGGCTGAAAGCTACCAATAGTACTCATGTCACAGCTTGAATGTTGAGCTGCCTTGAAATTTCCATCACCAGCTTTATTTATCTGCTGCCCTTAATCTCTATTTCTTATAAAAATCTTAGGAGATGAACAAAATATAGATATACATTTTCTACCAAAGGATAACATATATGTTCTCAAGCCTACTCACCGGTGCAATCCTTGTTCCTAAAAGAAATTTCTAGAGCCTGGCCTGTGTGCATTCCCATTGGCATTCTAGTCTTAGGAGCTTTGACCAGAATCTCACACAAGCCAACTAGGGCTTCTAGAAGCATTCTAAGGCTTCTGTAGCCAGCATCTCCAAACCTTTTCAAACTTCCCACATTAATCACATCATCTTAGCAACTACCTCATCTCTGGGACCAAAATCTATCTCTATCACTTTCTTGTTCCTGGGAGTTTACACTTGACATCCAAAGC